AATCTGTCCTTGATCACAAGTGCCAAGTTGAAATCACATTAGAGGGTCTTCTTCAGCTGTTAGGGAAATTTTAGATTAATAAAACTTGCAAAATAGACATTCAGCCAAACTTTTTAAGAGACAGGGTGTCACTGAGCAAAAGAAGCACTAGTAAAGAGGTCTCTGTTAGAAGATATTTCTTTCTGGATCTGACAAGTAAAGCTGACAAAGGGGGAGAAAATCCATCCAAATGGAAAGCCCCAGGTTTCCTTACAGCGGTAATGGGTGTTGCTTTCCTCTGTGCAAATCCACGATCATAATCCGGTCCCTTTGTACGCTGGGACTATTTTAGAATTAGCGCAAGGACTTTGGATAATGACCTGGCACTTTTATTTGCTGAGACTGACTGGAAAAACAAGAAAGAAGATTCTTCCTTAGACTATCTGGGCCAGAGTACATCCCACATGAAGGGGTTTATTTATTGGGATGCCCGACGGAGCTAACCACAGTCCCTCATTCATGTGACAACGTGGAAATGCAGAGCTGATCCTAAGGCTGTTCACCTGACGACATATAAAGAGTTAGCTTCTAGAGAAGCCATCACAGTCTATGCGTGTATGTACATGTAAAATCAAATCCTCCCTAAATTGCACGTTTCGTTATACTGACTGAGGGTTGACGCGTGTGATAAGGTTTAACTTGAAAGACTTTTGCTATCCCCGGGCAGCTAGCCAAAAGACACTTGGTTGCTTTAAACTTAAGCGCAGTGAAATATTTGTATACGGAAATTATTTCCCACAAGCTCAGACACACGACAGCAGATTCTTCAAAAAATAATTAATCTTTTAGCCACATTAACGGAGACTGTCAAACTTTAATTATCATACTTACTGCCTAACGTTAAAAATTACGAATAAAAAAAGCTAGCGCTAGCTGTCAAATGTACCATCAAGTTACGTCTACTAGAAGCTCTGCGAACTCGATTCAAGTGTCGGAAAAGGGTTAGTATGAGGACTGCAAACGAAGCTACTGATAAATCTGGATAAACAGCTGTCACATATGTCGTTTTGTTCCGCTGAACATTTATGTCGGTGATTACGGGCGATAGCAAGTATTGACTGATAACATTAAGACAATACGTGGCTGATATTTCCCTGCTAACCGCTCACTTTTGCCCGAAACCTCGACTACCGTTTGCGTACGACCTTGGCACCTTGTCTCATAATGATAAAATCTGACGTTACCCATGAAAGGAGAGTATTCCGGAAGAGTGTAAAGCCCAGCAGTGTACGTGGATTTAGCTGCAGGCTGACAGATTACCTAAACTAGCTTAGCAGCTAGCGCCGCTGAGCAGCTGCTGCAAAGGCTGATGGGAGGAAAGGGGGTGTGTGCTGCTGACTGACCAGCATCTTGGGTAAAATAAACATTTAGAAAGTAGCTTTTTCTATTTTAAAAAATCAATCCATCCACACTCTCCCGCTTATCCTTGTCCACATAAATTGAAATATTTTTACATTTTATACTGTTGTACAGGTACAATTTTTTGTAGGCTTTGATCCGTTATCTATTTAGCCATATCTACTGAAATTAGATCCAGGGTCGAAATCAAAGACAGTTGCGATTTTAGGGAATCTTGAAACTGAAACTATGCTGAAACTGGATTTTAAATGTACAGTGGTGTTCCCACTACATTTGCCTATAGCTTCCTGCACAGACAGGCACCTGCAGGTTTTTGAAGAATCATGGGGGAATCTCCAAACAGTGTTATAGTAAAACAGTATAGTAGTGATCATATATGGTGGACATAAGTAACTGAGGTTAAGCCTTAAAACAAACAAGATATATGTTATAAGGGAATCCATGGCCCATTTAAAAATTGACCTGAACCTGAAGGCACAGAATGTGAACAGTAGAAGGGCTAATAAGTCTGTTATGTGCTGCGCCAATGGCACAGGAATAAACTGGTTATGATAATACTAAAGTTTTTTTTAATTACTCTTGCTTGTTATTACATTTTAAACATCACAGCAAACTAGATTCAATGATTTTTTTTTTTTTACTGTTCCTATAAAAAGCAAGAATGTACAAGCATTTCGTCTTTGCTCTAAACAAATTCAATTCTGAAAATTATTAATACCTTTTGAAAGACCTTTTCTACTAATGCATGTGAGAGACTGAAAAATGGAGGAAAGTAGCTGTCCATTTCTCACCTACTATGCCTCAGTGGACTATGGCAGTAGAACCTTTTAAGCATCAGACACTAATAATTAACGGTTGACTAAAAGCAAATCAACCCACATAGATAGTGCATTAAAGATAACCAGCATTCACCTGTTTTGTTTCCAGTGCTGTCCTTGTTATAAGAAACACAGGCATTAAAAAAAATGCAATAGAGAGTTCCTTCTGAGGTAGCTGGAAAGTTTTATCTCTATGAAATTTTTATAAAGCTACTGCAGTGGGACTGTTGTAACCCCTGCCAAAGTCCTATGCCAACAGACAAAGAGTATAGGCCACAGTGACAGCTGCTGAGAACCACAGTGCAGGTAAACAGCAGCAGCAAAGCCCTGTGTGGAAAACATAATGGTGCATTGATGATGAGCTACACTGTTGTTTTTTGGTGGCTTATCTAAGTCTGTTTTTTGAAACAGAAGGTCTGCTGTCATTTCAGTTATTAATGAGCAGAATGCGCAGGAAATTACAGGAAATGTGTTTTACTCCAGCCACAACACACAATATCTTTTTATAAGGTCTCAAAAAACATTAAAAGTGCTTTGCTATGTTTAAGCTTTCTAGCTTATTTCCATACTATGGTTCCAGAAAGTCCACCAGTAATGACAGCATAATTTTCCACAAAAGGAAGGAGCAAATGTTTATTCAGCTGTTGTTGATTTCAGGCCAGGCCTTTTTTCTTTTGGACCCTGGTGCTGTTTTAGATTTCCTGCAACTAAATTATGTAAAAGACCTTACAGAAAAATCCAAATAGGAAATATATACCAATCACCATGCTGGATATTCTTATAAATTAACAAAGGTGCTGTGGTAATATAAGAGTCTTAACAGGTGTACCTGAGCACAAGGACCAAAGGTGACTAACTTGTCTCCAAGGCGACAGAGGACACCGAACAATAGTGCTAGACAGTATTGGTAAAAGGAGATTTCCCATAGGACTGGTATAAGAAATGCAGTACACGTCCTTTAGTGTTTTTAACTGTGGCGTTCCACTGCAAGAGACAAAGCAGTAGTGTTGACCTTAGGTTAACATATTAATTTGCAATTATATTATTTTTTTAATTTTTTACACCAAAATTCAGAATGCACTCTTGTTTCCAAAAAGTGAGAGAACTTTTTCCTTGGTTCATAATAAATGAATCACTTCACTATGAGGTGCTTAAATTTTAATGTAACACATTATTTAAGTTGTTGTTCTTCTATGTATGACCTGAAGTACATATTTTGGCTGAACTGGCATTGTGGAACAACCGAGTTTGACATGCAAAACATTTTAATTAACATCCACAAACATTTCAAATGGAATCCCTAGCACGTAACACGTAAATACAACATGCAAACTGTAGAAGACAAACAAAATTCAAATTTTATTTGTCACATACACAGTCATACACAGTAC